TACAGAGCTAGTTACACTAAGTGAGGATTGTCAGGAATACAGAGCTAGTTACTAAAGTGAGGATTGTCGGGAATACAGAGCTAGTTACTAAAGTGAGGATTGTCGGGAATACAGAGCTATTTACTAAAGTGAGGATTGTCTGGAATACAGAGCTAGTTACTAAAGTGAGGATTGTCGGGAATACAGAGCTAGTTACTAAAGTGAAGAATTGTCAGGAATACAGAGCTATTTACTAAAGTGAGGATTGTCAGGAATACAGAGCTAGTTACTAAAGTGAGGATTGTCGGGAATACAGAGCTAGTTACTAAAGTGAGGATTGTCGGGAATACAGAGCTAGTTACTAAAGTGAGGATTGTCGGGAATACAGAGCTAGTTACTAAAGTGAGGATTGTCAGGAATACAGAGCTAGTTACTAAAGTGAGGATTGTCAGGAATACAGAGCTAGTTACTAAGGTGAAGATTGTCAGGAATACAGAGCTGGTTACTAAAGTGAGGATTGTCAGGAATACAGAGCTAGTTACTAAAGTGAGGATTGTCAGGAATGGTGAAAACCAATCTCAAAATTAGCTAATAAACTATGCTTCCAGATTGCCGAATTTATTCTCCAATTTAAATTTCACATTAAATTAAAACAAAGTTCACTTTAATATATAACCCTATAAATAACTATGGCATTAATGTATTAATATCACCAACATGTGGTATAGTGCAGTACAGTTAGGTCAGAAAATAGCATAAAGTGAATTTTATACAACATAAGTGATTTAACAATAATAAGGTGGAATATGCAAAAAAAAGTTTCCATAATAAAACGCGTTTAGATATTGTGGCTGCCATAGCAATGATTAGGGCTTTGATGACAGTTAAGGTTGGAGGAGCAGGGGGTTAGGGTTGGAGGAGCAGAGGGTTAGGGTTGGAGGAGTAGAGTGTTAGGGTTGGAGGAGCAGCGAGTTAGGGTTGGAGGAGCAGAGGGTTAGTGTTGGAGGAGCAGAGGGTTAGGGTTGGAGGAACAGAGGGTTAGGGTTGGAGGAGCAGAGGATTAGGGTTGGAGGAGCATGGGGTTAGGGTTGGAGGAGCAGAGGGTTAGGGTTGGAGGAGCAGGGGGTTAGGGTTGGAGGAGCATGGGGTTAGGGTTGGAGGAGCAGAGGGTTAGGGTTGAAGGAGCAGGGGGTTAGGGTTGGAGGAGCAGAGAGTTAGGGTTCAGGTCATAAATGATTAGTAGGTACCTACATTCACATCCAGTAGTGGGTGAATCCCTTCTTCTAGATGTCTTGAAAATATCCTCAGGGTTATTCAGTAAAGTGAGACTTGTGAATTTCACATGTAAAGAGACACTATGGGCACTCAGGATACTGCAGCTCATTGACGTGGTCTGGGTTCAGTAGAGTGCGATGCAGTGTTCCTGTCCCCCTTAGTCCTTTCTTAGCTTTAGAGAAACTGCATAATACATAATTATATAACGCGACCGAGATTGCCTCTAATGGCTGTCAGACTGTCAATCAGACTGTAACTAGAGGGCACTTACTGGTTGCTAACGGACACCAGGTTGCCTGACACTGGACGTTTCACACTCTGCATGAGAAAATCCAGTGTCAGTGAAAACCATTGAAGCAATGCTTTCTGTGACAAACTACCCTTTGCCACTGGCTTCTGGAGGGGCCTGATTACCAGCCTCCTGCCCCAAGACTACGGGCCGTGCATAAAGACATGCTGAAAGGGGACTTTCATGGGAAAATGTGCCTCTTCCCCTCCCCCTTTTTCCTGTCCTATTGCTCTCCAGCAGGGCGTTGTCCCAAGGACACTTCCAGACCAGTTGAAACTGGCTGCTTTTTCCCTCCTCAATCTCTCAACAGCCCTTACTATTGTTTAACCCCATGGTGATCCAACTGTATTCGTGAGATCTGAGTGCTTTTTGGACATATTGAGCGCTCAGATCCAAGATATCTGGGGATATGTTGGACATATAGGTTAAACATTGTTTTATAAGAGTTATGTATTTTTATGTGTTTTTTGTAACAGTTTTTGACTTAGAGAGATTTCCTTTACCTGGAGATAATTAAGTTACCACAGCCACTTAAGCCAATTATCCCCAGGATAGAGGAGAAGATAGACTGGCCGCACAGCCTAAATCTGTGGAACTCATTTGGGCATCAAAACCATGCTTGCGGTCGGTCAAATGTGACTTCTACAAAACTTTTGAACCCCTGCTCTGATCTGGGTGTTTTTTGGATATGTTGTTCACCCAGATCAGGGCTATTCAGGGATGTATTATTTTTAGGGATATGTGGTGTTTTGGGGTGTTTTATGTGTTTTGTGAAAAATGTGTTTTCTGCCTGTGGGTAATTGAGTTAGTCCATTGTGTTTGGTAATTGTATCACAGGCAGAGGGGAGGGTTTGTGTACATTATCTGGGAGTGCCTAACTGTACAAGAGTGCTTTGATTGGCTTTGTGACTTTGTGTCCGGTGTTCCACAAGGTCCACATGGGTGGTAACCTTGTGGGAAAACTTGTATAAAAGAGACAATAAACCCTCAGTTTGTTCTTTTCCTGCTTAACCCTCAATATGTAGCCTCGTCTCATTATTGTAGGGAACTGCTATATTCACACTGGGGGCTGCTATACTTTGTATACTACCCTGAGCTTTAATCACTTAGCTCTTTTAAGAGCTGTTCCTGATACACTCTCCTGGAGGAGAGGTCTTTCCCACACAGTCCTGGAGAGCAGAGGTTGATACAGGGTGGAAGGAAGATGGCGAGACTCCAGTTAAGCTACGGCGGTTGTGGAGTCTTCGGTGGTTGTGGTGTCTGGTGCGGTGCTTATGCTTCTCGGCCTCAGCTAGGAAGCGTCCGTCAACGGAGGTGCCCAGTCGGGGTGCCAGGTGATCCGTTACACTTTCCAATAGGGAGGACCTAATGCACACACCGCGCATGCACATTAGCCCCCCCCCGTCAGATGACATTGGAGGAGGCGGAGCATTGACTCAACGCTGAGGGAGATCGGCACTGGATGTTTCAAGGTGGGGACACCATTGAAGGGGGGAACTAGAGGGGGCTATAGTAGCTGACTTGGAGAATGTTTCCAGTTTGGATATGTTGACCTTGAATTTGAAATTCACTTTGGACTCCCAGCAATTCTATCTTTAGTGAATAAACCATTTCAATGTTCTATAGAACACAAAGCTGAAAAATAAACAGACCTTGCACCTCCAGGAAATCAGTTAAATGATAATAGAAACATAGAAACATAGTGCTCAATAAAAGTCACTCTTCTACACAGGTGCTACAGTCAGCATGAATCTCCACGAATACAATCCCCCCTGCAGCTGAATTTCAAAGCGTTACTTTGGAACCCCGTGGATGCATGTACTACTTACTTGTAAAAGGGACACTTTATTCACCAAAACAACTGTAACTTAATGAAGCAGTTTTAGTGTATAGATCATGCCCCTGCAGCCTCACTGCTCAATTCACTGTCATTTAGGAGTTAAATCACTTTGTTTCTGCTTATGCAGCCCTAGCCACACCTCCCCTGGCTATGATTGACAGAGCCTGCATGAAAAGAAAATGGTTTTACTTTTAATCAGATGTAAGTTCCTTTAAAAGTTCTCATAGCAACTCACCTTTTACCAAGAAAACCCTACTCTGGAAAAAGTCCTTGGGAGAAGTGACTGCTCAACTACGGCAAGGGAAGGTAGAATACAGATGGCCACTACCAAGAACCCTGGCAGTTATCCGAGGTGACAACATCCTGAAAATCTCCACTCTGTCAGAGGCCCCGGGCTTCCTCTAAAAACTGGGACTATCACTGAGCACCCCAACGCTGGAGACACCATCAAGTTCCCATGAATGGGATCCAGAGAGTCATAGATGATAAGACCCCTGAAACAGGCAGTGATGAAACCCCCAGTGATGAAACCTAGCAGCCGGACAATCATACAAGGCTTGTTGCTGATCACTTATTTCTACTCTTTATTAATGTGTACAATGTAAACAAGCCATGACCTAATCCACTGTAATTGGCTATGAATGTCATGGCTATGCTGTTGTAGCATCACAAGTTTGCATGTTCCAACATGAATGCACAGAAAAATAAAGAATAAAATAAAAATAAAAAGTTTTCATCTTCTGCTCCGTAAACTGAACTTTATTCCCAGACAGGAGGCTCCTGAAGAGTTTAGAAGGCTATTAAAAGAGCAGAAGATTTAAAGAATCTAAATTAAACACACTGTGCAATAAAGAGAGCTATATAATTTAGACTCGTTTTCAGGAGATGTGTGCGACTGCAGGGCATAATCTATACACCATCACTGATTCATTAAAGGGACACTATAGTCACCAGAGCAGCTACAGCTTATTGAATTTGTTCTGGTGAGTAGAATCATTCCCTTCAGACTTTTTGCTGTAAACACTGTCTTTTCAGAGAAAATGCAGTGTTTACATTACAGCCTAGTGATAACTTCACTGGCCACTCCTTAGATGGCTGTTAGAGATCCTTCCTGGGTCATGGCTGCCTAAAATGCATCCAAACATTCAGTGTCTCCTCCCTCTGCATGCAGACACAACTTTCCTCATAGAGATTCATTGATTCAATTCATCTCTATGAAGAGATGCTGATTGGCCAGGGCTGTGTTTGAATCATGCTGGCTCTGCCTCTGATCTGCTTCCTTGTCAGTCTCAGCCAATCCTATGGTGAAGCACTGTGAATGGATCAGGCCACCACTTCTGATGATGTCAGCAGACTGCTTGTTTTTCTGAGGCAAACAGCATGCAGATCTACAGCTTCATGCTTGAATACAGTAAGATTTTACTATTTTTAGGGAGGCATGAGGGGCCCAGGGGGGGGGGGGCTAGATGGTGGTTTTAACCCTATAGGGTCAGGAATACATGTTTGTGTTCCTAACCCTATAGTGCTCCTTTAAGGTGAATTAGCTTTCCTGCTTAGCATGTTCCTTTACGATATCCTTCATTCTCCATACAATGTTACTCATTTCACCAATGCAAGTCTATGCAAGTAAACCCCCCTATAGTTTCTCCAACCACAAACAATGTTTATAATAAAGTAAAAAACTATCTGCATGAAAAATAAAGCGGTCATCATTCAAAGTTAAGCTTGGGAAAACTAGTACATCATTTAGTTATTTCTGTATTTTTATTTTTGAGTGATAATTATAGTGACTGATTAAAAGACTCATTAAAAGACATTTATGCACATTTCTCCGTAATATGTAGTGCTAATGGTGTAACTAAAATCAGCCAAGTACATTAGCTAGGCCAGTGTGTGTTCAGAACCCATCTTGGTGGCTGCAATTTGACCGTGCCTCCATACAATCTAGAAGAGGAGAGGGGACAACAGAGTCCTGATGAAGAGGTGAAGAAGCGTTGAATGAAGCCGTGTCAGAGAAACGTGTCTCTCACCTTGCTGGAGGACAGTGCTGGAGCAAAGGAAGGGAAGGGTCTCAATAAATGGCGGGTTGAGTAATATAAAATACATCCAGCCAGACATTCAGATAAATTACTCTGAATTTTGGCATAAGGGAGCAATATAGACAATCGGAGGAGGAAGGACTGGGACACAATGCTCCGTGTGTTCCTCTCCGTGTAGAATACTAGTTCTGTGAATTACCAGGAGCTGGGGATAA